GCGGCGGACGGAAGGTCTGTCGGCAATGTACATACGCCTCGTACCCCTCAGCTCTTTCCAGCAACTCCTCCAGAGTACAAAAATCGGCACGACGTATGGTTAATTTGTACTCCGGGCGCATGTTGCGGTAAACGAGGTCAAGCTTCCCTTGTTCCGAGAACGTACCGCTCCTCCGAATCAGCGTTGAGAGCGCGACGACGTAGTCCCGAATGGATTCGCGCTCGCCTTGTGTCCGTCGCCTTACCTCGTCATCTGGTCCTGATGGTACAACGGTGGAAGAAATTGATCCTCGAACTGGCGTTTAAAATCTCCTTACGAGCGCCAACTACCGCGACAGTTACGGTGCCAAAGCAACGCCGGGCCGTGAAGAAGATCTGGCAGCGCCTTCGTCACTTCATTGAGGTCGATCGAGTAGGCTTCCGCCAACTCCTCCAGACGTTCTAGAAACGAGACCGGGTCCTTCTTGCCGTCAAACCGCAGATTCCACTTGTGGACCCGATTGCACAACGACGGCGTATCGTCTCCCACTCTCGTCCCACCCCACGGGTTAGGGTTGTCTGGACGTGAGGTTGAGAAGCCGGGTTGGATTCGCGACGTCCGCGGGTCCTGGTTGGGATGTGACCACTGGTTTGTCCGGTCTTCGAACCCGTGATGCGGAAGGTGGGTCTGTTGCTCGTAGGTCCGGTCTTCGTAATCGCGGCGCATCGTCTGCGTTTGCGACGGTATGGTAGACTGTCGAGGTAGTGTCAGGTCGTGCGTCGTCAGGCAAGTCATTGGCCGTTCTCCGCGACTCTCAAACATCGCGCGGGATTCGCGTTCCGTCGGTAGACCGAAGGGCACGGGGTACGATAGGATGTCTTCCCCGGTCGACGGGATGTAGGCCGGACGCCTCACCAACGCCGCGAGGGCTCGTTGAACGGATTCGGAATCAGCGTTTGGAGAGACTCCGAGCATTTCTCGCACGCTGGCCATCTCCTGGTACGCGGAAGGAGGTGCCAGCCACTGTCGGACTTGCGTATCGTAGGCTGTCGAGGCTGTTGTCGCCATCGGGTTCATCGGCTGACCGACCTCCCGACGGGTTCTTCCAATAATCGCAAAAACGTTTGCGGAGCTCGGCGACGCTACCCTCAGTATCTAGCTGATATTTTGTCATCTCAGCAATCAGGAGCTGTTTGCTCAGAGTATGAATCCAGCCGACGCGTGAGTCGTCCAACGGTGATTTCGGGATGCTCTCCATCGTCGAAGGTATTTGGGAGATCGTCGTCGTGGTCGTGGTCGTCGTTGACGTTTGAATTCCCACCGTGGATATCGTCACGTGGCCGATCGGTAGCGTATCGGGTCGGGCAATAGTCGTCGGGGTACTAGAAGTCGTGGATTTAGTTTCTCCAGTCATTTCGTGTAAATTTCGAAGTCAAAACCGTGTTTTCGAGTCCCTGTTCGGGCGCCAGAGATGTGACGCAAAATTCTAGGGGGGGAATAAACTAGTATTCACCTAAGTCAGGCTAGGCCTACCCCTCGAACCGGCCACACTCAAATTTCTTCCCCGGAGTGCTCAGAAGGAGCCGAGAAAAATCCAGGGGTCGATACAAAGTTGTCACGGCTTTGACTGATCAATTTATTTAAATTTAATCGAAGGCTCAGAGCTCTAGAAGCGCTCAGGAAATCCTGCAGACGCCTAGTTGGAGCTATATCATCCCAGCCATCGCTTAAGTGTTTTGGAGAATTTTGCCTAACTTTTAGAATGGCTCTGTAGGGCCGACGAGTATTGAATCTTAAGCCAATGTGATATAAATACTCGTATTAAACTGTGAACTATCTGGCTAAAGTCGTTGGTAAATAATATAAAATCGAATATAAGGTAAAAGTAATAATTCCTACAGAGTCGTCGGGCCCAATCAATATAATCGAACGGAGAATTTAACGTGATAGGTTTAAAAATAGATTCAATATTAATATTCGTAGCTGTTTGATTGTTCAAATCAGCTGCTCCCAAGACTTGATTCTTTCACCCGCTAAAGACGGGGTTTAGAACATAGACGACAAGTCTCGGGGTATTAAAACGGTGAAAACGAGATATAATTTTAGACGTGATAATTATTTGTTAAGCGAACGGAGAAATCGTAATTTCGAAACTAATTAATGGTAATTAAATAAACGATAGCCACCGCTAGTCACTGGCAGGCAGGAACTGGCGGGTCAAGACTCAAGTTAAGATATTAAATTTAGATAATTCGAAACGGAATATTAAGAAAACGAAAAGGTATAATAAGTTAAGTATGCGTAAGGTAAAACAGAAATAACGTAAAACGTAAAAAGGGGCCTAACTAATATAGTAGCTAACCTTCGTAATAATATCGTACAGTCGTAAGAGCTTCTCGTGAACAAGTCGACGGTTGAACAGCGAATAATCCTTGTCCGGCTCAAGTCCCGATTTCCTCGGCCGCGGCTCAAGCGCTGCGGTGGCGATTTCGGAAACTAGCCAACAGCTGATCGGGGATTCGCCTGTTGAGCCGGTCTAGTTGTCGTCTGTCGTTGGTCAACAAACACCATTTTGAGGTTAAGTGATGTTGTAATCGGCGTTAAATATTCGTAAAATCGGTCGTTTTAACTTTATTTGGTGAAAAGGATTGCTATTAAGAATAAATATGTAGTTGTGGGTGTGTTCGTGTACTTCACTGTTATCAAAAGTAGGCCTACGTTCTTTGGCCCATAGCCCAAGCTAGGGCCAACACATAGGCCTAGGATTAGGATGTTGTGGATAAAAATCGGGTAAGTTATGGTGTTTGTTGACTAGCAATACGTTTTTACCCCCTTTAAAATTTGGTACCTCACAAAATTAATAAATATAATAATTCTAGTAAAACTTATTACTTTTGAAAATAAAGTCCTACGCAAAATCTTTGGTCCTACTAAAGGAGATGTGTGGAGAATTAAACATAATCAGGAACCAAGAGACCTGTTCAAGGAGCCAGATATAATTGCAGAGGCTAAAAGCAGGAGGCTTAGCTGGACGGGCCACATCATTAGAAGAGATGAAACTAGCACACATTATCAAATATGGAAAAGTGACCCACTGAGGAGGAGACCACAAGGGAGACCGAGGAAACGCTGGACGGATGAAGTAAAGAAAGATATGGCCAGGATGGAAGTTAATGAAGATACCGCAAGAGACAAGGCGACGTGGAGACAGTGTGTTGGTGAGGCCAAGTACCACTTGGGGTACAAATGGCCATGGGAGTAAGAGAGTAAGTAATAAATAATTCTAGTAGTGAAACCAGGTATTGGCTGGGCCAAATGCACAATAAAAAAACATTTTTAATCAGCAGTGTATCAATGTTTATTTTATTTGAAAATGTTTAAAGTCCCTTCATATTAGCTGGGGTGGTGGTCCAGGACCTCCAATTCAGGCCTGACATCTCTTTCTTGCCATGCGATTGTCGTCATCACAAGTGATATTTCGTCTGTCGTTTGTTGTTTGTTGTTGTTCATTTTTTAAAGCTTGGTCCAAGTCCTTAATCAAGATGTTTATTTTGTAAATCCTCATTTTGCGATCTCTCTCAATAGTTGTTTCTTCATGTTTTAAATACTCAGCTTTTTCTCCTGGCTTTTTCAATCTTCTACAACCCCTAGAAGGAACTTCGTTGATGTTCCAGGCCCTAGGCCTTTAAAGGTGTGGTTTTTTAACTCCTACTGAAGCTCTCTATTTGATGGTGCTGCATAAAATATTTGGCAATACTCTAGTACCCCTTTCCCTTTTCAAGCAGCAGCATTCGCCCAGTTAGCTTACCCGGCGGGTGCCGGCTGAGGGTGGCCAACCACAGGAAGCACAGCAGGAAGAGGTGGTGGTCCAAATAGTTGCTCAACGACCCAATTAACACTAGTCCAACACCTAACAAAAAAGTAAGGACACGACCCATTTTTATTACTTACGTATCAAAAAGAAGAATTAGTATGGAAAATTAGCTTGTGCTATCAATATTGTAAGAGAGATGTATGCTTACTTTCTTGATGATTTCTTTAATAATTTTTTACTCTAATTGGTTTTTTATAGTTCAAAAATATAATTCAACTGCTTGATTTTTAATGTAATCGTTCACCAGACCCAGATGCCATTTTTGCCGTTAAGCTAACAATTAATGATAATATCTTTAAAAAAATGTCAACGTTTGATAGTAACATGACCGAGGTTTGGTTTGTTTCTCTACAAAAACGTTATAAAATGCCAACATGTAGACAAATAAAAAAATTCTAAACCTATTTTCCTGGATCAAAAACGATTTAAGCTGAATATGGTTCTTGGTTCCATGCCTAGAGCGGGCGCACAGCTAGTTAACATTAAAAGCGTACAAAGTGATTGTATTGTTGTGATTGTTGTACCAATTTAATGCAACATGGAAAGATTATGCTTAACGAGAGTTGCTAAACAAACTCAAAGTGTAATTTTAACCATGCTAACTTACAAATAGTGGTATATACAATTGGAACAAAAATGTTTACATTTTCAACTATTTACAATCACACTTTATAACTCACTTTAAAGATTCAGGCATTTTTCTACTAGACTTGCAGAGAAACAATTAATTCTACATTACAGTCCTGCCTGTGATAAAGATGGGAACCGAAGTATTTAACACGTTCGCTACTGAGCATCATATATGCGCTGCCGCGGTCATTGCCATGGACCAAGGTATACAATTTAATCTTACACATAGACCAGTTGTCACATTGTACCAGTAGGCCTACACGCAGACCACAGGCGAAAACCTGTTAAAGAGAGATCATTTACTTTGTAATACGCTGCAATCGTGTTTGTAAATAATATATTCTTGTTTTATATATGTTTGATGACCTTTTTTAATGTCGCTAAGCAGTGTTTTAATTTACAGCAGATAAACTGACCTCTATTTTTTCCCAAGTACAGGAAGTTAATCTGAGAGCTAGTTAGGTCAGGGTTGGTTAAAAGAGTCTATCATACATAAACATTTAAATATTATACTCACTTTTAACTATATCACAGATGACGTCCAATTTCATAGGCCAACAAATGGCCCAAGATATTGCCCAGTGTAACGCCTCTTCACATTTGTCTTTGAAATTAGAAAATCGCTTCTTGCAAGCTTTTCCCATACCAGTTTTAACATCTGTACAATCAAGTTAACAACATATTAAAATGTGTTTAACGATGGGAAAATATAAATGCCTATATACACAATAATATTTAAAAGAAAAACAAGTTATGATGCTGCTGAAGTCATGAAGCTGTCAACCTGACAAATGCTACAGTTATGATAGTATCTTGATCAGCCAGTCACAAAAAGGAAACTATGGCATAGTCTTACACACTCAAGAGTTTCTGGAACAGTTGCATCACACAATTAAAAACTATAATTGGACTGGGACGGGTGGTGTTGTCCTGTAATCCAGCTACTAGGAGGTCACGAATTGTGGATATTTATAGGGATGGACTGTGGATGCGATGCTCCCTGGTGTGGATTAACGTCCGCACGAGTGAGTAATACGACTATCCGCAGTACTATCCTGATAATTAGACCAATTTGTAAATTACAAGGAAAAATGTGGTTCGGATTCCACTATAAACTGTAGGTCCCTTAGTTGCCATTAGCTGTATGGGCTTTTAATTAACAGCTGTGTCTAAGGCACAATTTGGCCTTAGTCACTAACAAGACTACAAGATCGCGCCACTCATCCTACACTCATCCTTCACTCATATTTGGCTTAAAATACACACATAGTGGCGTTCCCATCTTAAATAATTGATAATTGATAATTGATATAAAAAAGCAATGAGGAGTCAAGCATGCCAGAGCATCTGCTTCAAGCTTGGAAGCATTACAATTCGCTTCAAGCATTACGATTCGTAGAGCAGCACAATTTGGAATTTTATAGGAAGAAAACTAGTTATTAGGAAACAAATTTTACACCACCTACCAGAAACTTTAAAGTTAGAAAAAAATCCAAATAAGTTTTTGAAATCATTAAAAGGGGTTTTTATTGGATCAGCATTTCACCCCATTCAAGAAATTTTTTGTATGCAAAAATCAATAAAAGACATTAAGTTACCTCCATTGATTGTTCTATGCTTTTTTACTGTACTTTTAAAATGCATTGACATGTTTTTGGACTACTGTTATACTGTAAAGTTAAAAGTGTCAATCACTAGTTTTAAGCAATTTAGATAAGACAACTAGATATTATTTAATGTACCAAAATGTACATTTTATGAAATAAAGATGATGGTGGTGATGATGATGATGATGATGATTTGTCATTTTGTAAAACTCAATGTGTAACAACATCCAGTTCTGTTTTTTAATAAAATAGTATATTTCATTTCATCACTAGAGAGTAAAGTGACTCTTTTCGACCCAAGCTCAAGTTTTACGATCAAGGCAAAGACGAGGTTGGAAGTAGAGTGAGGTATCAAAAGACAATTTTTGTTGTGTTATGAACTATTTTTTTTTGTCATATTGCACCATTATTTGAACAAACTATGTTACAAAACTTAAATAGTTTTCATTTAAAAATAACCTCTCAAAACTACTTCAAACTTGTTTTTAATTTAATTTGCTACTGGAAACAAGCAGCTGTCTAGTAAGTGATTTAATCGTTTTGTCTGTTACAATTGTGTTAGTGTACCTACATTCATTATACTATCAAACTTTTTACAATAAGGCAAATGTAACAACAACAAACATTATCAAACAATAATCTACAATCAATACATACATTCGATACATGTGATAAAAACCAAGTTGAGAACAGCTGATTTTTACTTCCTAGGGGCTAAAGATAGTTTTTACTTCCTAGGGAGTAAAATACTACTTTAGATCCGCTATGCATGCATTAAAAACGGTTGTTTTTGCTGCAGTATGATGAAAATTCTTTTTATTAGATATTGTAAAAAGTTAGAGTGTGTACTACAGTTATAGAAACTTTTTTATAACTAATAATACAAACATTACTATAGTATACACCATCATCCTTCTTTTTTTACTACTTTTTGCAAACAAACTATAACTTCAATTAGAGTCTGTTTTCTAAAGATTTGTATCAAGAGGCATTTAACACTCATCTATGATTTAACCATAAAAAAATGCACAGTAATGTAATGTACGGTAATGGAAGTATAATTAATTTTGGAAACACTTACTTTCACATCTAGTTTCCAATTTCTTCAAGTATTGTTTTTGATATTCCTCAGCAGTAACTGTATTATTTAATTCATACTCTTTAAAACTTGTTGACTTGTTCACATTTTTTATAATGTCAAACATGTTCCTGCTTAAATTATTAGAATATTTATTTTCTAGTTCTTCACTTCTTTTTGTGTCATTCTACAACAATTGAACTGATAAAGTAGTGAGGTGTTTAAAAAACTAAGATGAAAGGTAAAGCTGTGATTGATGTAGGTTCAGGGATTAAAAAATATATGTGGCATGGTGTATTCAGGAACCTTATAGACAATAATGTCAGCATTAAATAAGGCTATTAATTGCTATACCAGTCAGTTGTGGTTAGGCGCTCACAACGTCTGCGTGAGAGAAATACAATAGAACCACCTTGAAAATGCTGCACGTTGACATTGGTGCAGCAAAACATCAAAAATAAGAGTCTGGTATTTTATTTTTATATTTGCATTTTTATTCTAAATGTCTGTGTTTTTGAACAATCGTGACAAGGACTGTATTCTCCTTATTTCAAATACCCCGGCCGCAGCAAACCTACCGGCTAAGCGAATTTCCATTAGTCTGATTCGATTTTCAATCAAAATCTATTTAAATAGCATTAGGTACTTAACGTGGACCAACGATCACATAAGACCAATAGATGGAGCACATTGGCCGCGACGTGAAGACAGTATTTTTCACTAATCTTCTTCACCAAGATGGTGGCTGCCGGCTGTGATGAGCCCTAGTAGCGTGCACAACTAATTAAATGTTAGTTGATATCAAAATGCACGGCTTTGTATTATAAATATTTCTATTAATAACATAATGACCTTCAAAGTACACTTTTAATTTTTTCCTAACGTTTACCGTTTCTTAGAAAAAGTTAGTTTAGATAATAAACAACAAAAACTTTTTGGGCGAAAGAAAAATTCTGAAAGCTAGAAATTAATTTAAAATATATGTATCTATATCGTATTAAAGTTTGATAAAGTTCTGGCGTTTGGTTTACAATATACAAATTTTCAAAGTCACAAGATAGTTTCTGAAACTCTTAAATCAACTCTCCTTTATATTCTGACTGTCATATTAACGTTTGTGAAAGAGCTAAAAAAATATTAATTTTTATATGAATACAAAGAATTAAACGAAGAACATTTATATGTACTCCGTATCTCAATCACCTCTACACTCACTTTGTATTTATATTCAGCTTAAAATATTTACAAAAAGTAGTAACTATTCTTCACTGCCTTATTGATGTGATTTTTTGATCTAGGTTAAAACTTAAATAAATAAAGACTGCAAGATTGCAGTCTGTGGTTGGAATTTAAGTATGATCATAGAAAGGTTAAAACTCTAGCACTTACCAATGCTTCATCCATATAGTCGTTTTCTTCTTGGATGAATTTGACATCATCAACTCCCTCTATCTCTTGAGCAAACGGCTCTACTACATTGTTTACAGATCCCAACATATCTTTAAGTTCTTCTGATTCAACCTACAGTATAATTGACAAAGATTATTAAGTTACTTCTTTTATCTAAATAGGATGGAACTGACCGATTGGTTGTTGGCCATTCTAAGGCTCACTTGCGAACCGACTAATATGGTCAGTTGGCCACTCTCAGGGTTAAAGTTACAGCTATAGTTTTCGAATGAAATCTAATTAGAATGAAACTAGCCAGGCTAGTTGAATTGACCCAACAACAAGAGTCGGCTGTAATATCAATTACTGGTTTATTTCGTAAAGACCAATTTTTTTAACAATCCAAACTCAAATTACAATTCATTGATAGCTTAAGAATCGTTTGTATCATATTAACAGAGTTATAAAAACTTAAGAGAGTAAAAAAGACGTTTTGACATGTTCTGTGAGTATAGCTCATTCAAATTTGGTTCAGATGGGGGACATCCTACTTGAGTATGTAGGGCAATGAATAGTTAACAACCACCAACCTTAGTGTTCAAGAAGGCAATCTTGAAAGGTTTGACAAGAAGATCATATCTAGCCTGAGAGAGGTTATGAGCCATGGAGTTGCTACAGGTAAACATCCTCATCACCTCTTCAACATTGACCATGATGTTAGGAACAGGTCCAGACATCAGTGCACTAATGATCAGAGCCTTCACAATGTGTCTCCCTGACTTTCCGAAGAATGAAGGCATCGTCAACAATGTTATGCATCTGATCTAAACATTCAAATGCCACTGATTGGTTGGACAATTATGTCTTTCAGAGCTGAATTCCAAAATAAATTTGCTGGGTTAAATTCCAGCAACAACTAATTCATTGTCCGAAAATCCGGATTCGGACAAAGAACACTTCTAACAGCCAAGATAAAAAGGCATCTTCAAAAGTGTTAAAAATCAGACCTAAACATCTTTTACTGAATTTTGAATTTGTGACTGCATAGAACTGACCTATTCTCAATGAGCTTTTTAGTACACATTTATAAAGCATTGCAAACAATGTAAACTATAATCAATCACCACAAGTTTGCAATACAATAAACAATTTTTAAATTTTAACCAACACATCTTTTTATATGAAACGTTTGGATTTTTTTATTGTCTCCAACTACTAGTCTGTGACTAACATAACTGTTTTAACTAACATAATTTATACCTAAACTATTTCAGTCCACGAGTAAAATTTTCTTTCAATACTCAAAAAGGTAAAGAATCACCTACGCGAGAAAAGTATTAATGATTTTTCAAGTACTATAGCCTACCGGTAATAGAAAAGAAAAAAATAAATGCAGAGGTATATATTATTTTATTATTTATATAACCCTGTCAACCTTTTAATGGTTAAAGAGGTGAATTACCTTTAATTTTACAATGAATGAAATAATTTAATGTTTTAGCGAATTTCCCATATAGGGAATAAGCTATTACCGTAATACTCATGGTAAGACCTGGACCCGGGACTGATTTACTTTTTTGTTTTGAGGTCCCTAGCGGCCAAAAACACCATCCGTTCAAATTCATATATATATATATATATACTAGCAGTTACCTAGCTGTGCTGAACAACAATTATGGTAATTTGTTTTTTACAATGAATAATAAAAGTGGGATTCAATAATAAAAATAGAATATTTTACTTCTGCCAGTGAATGAACAATGTTTTTTGTTTTTTCTAAAAGTTTTTAGGCTTGCCTATCACCACGTGAGCACGCAACATACAGCTGTCCGTGTGAAAAGCATGCATTTTGAAAATTTTAACCGACGATAGTCATAGGGATTGCCCTAGTGCCTTATAATAGTGATTGCGAAAGCAAGACAAAAATACCCCCGCCGCAGCAAACCTGCAGACTAAGCGAATTTCCATTTGCCTGATTGGATTTATACTAAAATGTCTCCTTAAAAATATCACATTTATTCCCTATTTAAATAACATTAGTTTAACAAGTACTTAGGTTTGCTACAACAGGGAGGGTAAAAAGGTGTTTTTCTAAAATGTTAGTAGTTTAGTATGAAATGAATGCATTTTCCAAATTTGATATGATCATAAACAAGCAAACTACAACAGTTTACTTATTCTCCATAAGAATATCATGCAAAATCATCTTTCATATCTCATCTTTTATATCCGGTCATTTTCCAAAATTATTAAAAGTTGCTAAGGTTGTGCCTATTTTCAAAAAGGGGGACCCTCAGTGCGGAGAAAACTATCGACCAATATCACTTTTGCCAGTTATTTCAAAATTATTTGAAAAGGCAATGAAAATTAGGCTAGTGTCTTTTATAGAAAATAACAACCTTCTATTTAGTGGCCAACATGGTTTTCGCTCAGGCAGATCAACAATTACAGCTGCTTCAAGTTTTTTTGAGAGTATAATAAATTCAATTGATAGCCACGAAAATGTTATAGGAATATCAATGGACCTTACGAAGGCTTTTGATAGGGTATGTCACCAAACTCTAATACTCAAACTAGAAGATATGGGAGTAAGAGGTCACATTTTGGCGTGGTTCAAATCATATTTATCGGAAAGAAAGCAATACGTTGAAATCATGTCTAATAAAAATAATTGGCTGGTAAAAAACAGATCAGAAATAAAACTTAATCACTTTGGTGTCCCTCAGGGTTCAATACTAGGCCCTGTTTTATTCCTTTGCTACATTGATAAGATTCCAAATGTTCTGTCGTGTGTACCTTGTGGAAATATGTGTTTATATGCTGATGACATTAACTTAAAAATTACAGGAAAAACAGTAGAACATATCGAAATAGATACCTTTATAGAACTTGCAAATATTAAAAATTACTTACTATCCAACAATCTCAAAATAAACAAAAGTAAAACTAATTTTATATCATTTTCAACTAAGCAATGTAAAAACAAAATAGAACCGTTGATTATTTTGGATTCCGATGAAATCAAACAAGTTGAAAAAATAGATTTTTTAGGTTTAAAAGTTGATAAACATCTATCCTGGCAGGACCACGTCGATCATGTTTGCTCAAAGATAAATTCAGGGATATTTGCTTTGAAAAAGATGTCATATCTATGTAATATCAATACTATGAAAACAATATATCATTCTCTTGTCCATAGCCACATTTCATATGGTATATCTTTATATGGAGCTACAACTAAGAAAAATCTTAATCGAATCTTAAAATTACAGCAAAGGGCATTAAGAACAATGATGGGACTAAAAAATGATGAATGTGTTAAAATTCATTTCAAAAATTTTAAAATATTAACTGTGTTTGCCCAATACATTTTTGAAACTGCTCTCTTAGCGAAAGAAAGTATATCAGATAACGCACAATTATGCTACAATACAAGAGGAAAAGCCCTAAGAGAAAATAGTCGCAACCATCTTTTATTTTCAAATAAAAAGCCCACCTGTGCCGGAAGAAGATTTTTACGGTTTCTTCCAAATCATTTAAAACCCATTGGCAACACAATCAAATTTAAAAACAAATTAAAAAATTATCTCATAGAAATCGCTCCCTACTCCATTAAAGAGGTGTTTCCCCAATTAACCTGATTTTATTTTTAGTTTCTTAGTATTATATAAATTGTAATTTTAGCTTATAACTTTATTTACTAGGTTAGGAATCTGACACTATTCGATGTACAATGTACAATTGTTGAATAAAGATATTGAAATGAAATGAAATGAAATGGGAATTTTTAAATTTACAGTGTTTTGGAATTTTCTCCGTAACCATTAGGCGCATAATAACGCTTCAATATACTAAATTATTTGTTTTTTTTAAGCTCTACAAAATGGTTTGGAAAGAAAATGCTAAACTTTAAGTTTTTAGGGTCAAAAATGGGAAAAACCAATTTTTGCCCCATAAAACCCTCATTGAGCGGAGCGAGCGAAGCGAGCGTAGCTCTTTTGGATCAACTTCAATGCAACAAATAGAGAAACATCACTCAATAACGGCTGAACGCATTTCAGCCAAACTTAACAAAATTACTTAGACTAATAGTGAGATGGTTTTTAAACAAGCAAATTTCAATTAGATATTACTAATGCAATTTAAAACAAACTTAAAATTTCCAATTTTTAACATTAGGCTTATGGGACTAAAGTAGCCATATGACAGTTTTTTGTTTACAAGAAAGATGTAAACAAGAGAATCATAAGGTATTTCTAAACTTTCTAGACTTTTCTTTTAAACGTTTTTAAACCATTCCTATGATTTTAATAAACAAGAAAATGCCGTTAAAACATTTTTTCAAGGCGCGGAATTCACTGAAAATTGAGAAAATATACGGAACTACTTTTTCAATGCGCGGAGCATAAACAAGGAGCAGAGGGATACGGACCGCGGTGACTACTTTCTTGGGAACCTATTTGTGTTGCCAGCTGATTAGAATTTAGAAACAGCCAATGTTAGAAATCAGAATCTAATAAGCGATATATCGAACCGCATCGAAATCGATATTTAATCCGATAATACCTCACAGGTTATATTATGTTGAATTACATCGACGGTGCAGTAAGTTATTACACTTATTAATAAAACGCAGATTGAACACTGATCTAATTTCGGCAGTGGGGAAGGTAGGTCGGGGTTTATGAGTATTCGTGGTTTATGAGTATTAGTGTTTTGAAGTAAGGTTAGATTAGGAAGGTAAAGTGTAGGTTAATAGGTAGGTGATCGGGTTGTTTATTTGTGTTGCACCATATAATTTTTATCTTTTGGAATAGCTGGTTAAAACGGGGAAACGATTACAAAAATGCTTGCATTATAGTATTAACAAGCCATCTACGGTATTCTATAGCATTGTCTTTATTAAAGTCAATGATTCTAGAAAATTACTACATAAAAACCAAATGAAAAGAACATTTGGATTTGGACCTTTGACCATAGCAAAACTAACATGTAATTTATGAAATGTGAAAAGTTGTATATCATTAAATACTATTCTGTAATATTAATAATTGTTCGGCAAATCCTCATTTTAATGGCTCGGCTGAAAATTGAATCTGCATTTTGTGAAACAGTAATTTGGTAACAATTCAGTAATTTCAAATGTTGATAACAGTAGCCTATCCAGTATAAATACTGTTATTTGATTGCCAAGCCACGGGCTATACATACAACCATAATACCATAATAATAACATATGGCCATATGGCCATATGGTGGGTTTAGTTACAACCATAATAATAAGTAAATATATTAATTACCTTGGCTTATAGAAGTCCACTTTTAACCACGGTATGGATAATTGTCAAGGCTTATCCAGAAGTAGGCTACTAATTTCTAATTATATTATCTACATTGTATATTTAAGGCATGTCTTCCCTTCTTATTATTATTCTGTTTTCACTTAAATCAGCTGAATGCGATGTTTACTTATTACTTATGTTTAGGCCTACATTTCAGCCATTTTATGTTGCACGGTTGAATTTAAATGTCAAATTTCCCCTCCTGTTGTTATACTTTAATACTCGTTTTTTTTATAGTTACTGTTTTTTTTTATAGTTACTGTTTTTTTTATACTAAAATACTTTAACCGATTGTAAGGGTGAAAAATGTAGCCCAATGTTTTTTTGTTGTAGGCTACAGTTGCATTTGAATGTTAAATTACCTTTCTCTTTTTTATACTTTACTTTTTGGATGTTAATATCAGATTCCAACTACTGTAATATTTTCATGGTCAAAACTACCATAATGCACTTCTGGAAGAGGTATCTGAATAACAAGATGTAGTAAAAACAAATTTGAATTATTATAATTTTAATCAATAAAACCAGCATTAGTACATCTATTGACCTTTTTACATTTAATTACTTATACAAATATCAAATCACGTTTGTTCCGCTCAACTGGCTTTCAACTCTCTGAAAGCAACCCTAGTAAACCCCGGTTCCCATAGTCCGATCATGCTGGTTCGCTAACTCGTTCGAATAAACGTAGGTCTACACGTTTGTACCAAATTTCATCAAAATCGGATGATTTTTGCTCGAGTTATCGCGTTAACGGACACATATATAAATATATATATATGAATTTAAACGGATGGTGTTTTTGGTCTCTAGGGACCTCAAAACAAAAAATTAAATCGGTCCCGGGTCCAGGTCTTACCATGAGTACTACGGTAATAGCTTATTCCCTATATGGGAAATTCGCTAAAAGGAAATTGTAGTTGCTTAAATTCAGAGGGTAATTTGGATGAAGTTATCAGTATTCTTGGGATTAAGACTATTTCTCCTTTAAACTTACCACTGATAAATTTTTGCTTCAATCCAATTTTGGTGTCATTTTTTTTTTTTTTTCGTCAGTCTGGTAACTTTGCACAGCTTCGGTGGTTTTAAGTTTCGCATTATTATTATTGGAGTCATTGGAGTTCCTTCTTTTAATGACAGAGTAATGTGGTGGGTAAATGACAAATTGAGAGGCATTTGAATACCTGATATAGCACGCACGGTTATTATTCACTTAATAATTTATGTTAGATTGTGTGGGGGTATAGAACAAAAGATAAAAATATTAAGTTATTGCCATCCCTTTAATTGTTTATAACTTTGATCAAGGTTTTTATGTTTACATATTTAACATTGGAGAACTTAAATGTTGTTGAGTGCACAGGAGTGCTGCGATTGGGGTTTAATATATTTGGACTTATTCAAAAGTAAAATAGTGTTCTGTGCTGCACTCTGTAGAAACATTGTGGCACTATTTCAAATCATGACTAATACAGAACGTTGTGATTATTCAAAGTTACAAAACAGTTGGTGAAAGTAAACATCTGCTTTTAAATTATATTTATTTGTAAACATTGTAGTTCATAAAGTCTGACATTGTCCCACTTAAAACTATAGCGTCTCGGTTTCCCCTTCTTAGAAACTGATGAGAACCTCTTTAGAGAAGGAGTGGGGGGTGAGACGTCACTCTGCTCTTTAGGGAACACCATTACCGTAACGAGACGATATGATTCCATCGTGGCGTAGTTGAGGGTCTCGGATTCCTGATCTGGAGGACTCCAGTTCGAATCCCGCCGGCGACACTAACTTTTGTCCAAGGTTTTGCTTAGATTGCGAGTACTTCTAACTGTACATCTTTTGTTAGAATTTGAGGCATTTATAATTTTATTTATGAACAGAACTATTTTTTTTTTAAATTAGTAAACCTTCATTAGGTTTTTACTTTAACTTATATATTTTTTATATTATCAGCAAGTTTGGTTAGTTAGGTTAGGTTATGACAGTTTAATTTTATAATTAAAAATTTTAAAATTAATTTTATAGTTAAAAAGTTAGTTTTCTAACTAAAATAGTATAAAATAAATTTAAAGATTATCTTAAATCGATGTGAGGGGCTCTCCCACAATCCCCCACTCTTTCGCAGAAAAGGTTCTCATCAGTTTCTAAGAAGGGGAAAATGAGACGCTAGTACTTAAAACCCTCTGGGGCGGAGACCTTTTGACGGATCTGCACCAAACTTCACACAAACTATCCTTGAAAGATGCTTAATAATTCCTGAAAGTTTCATTACAATCTGTGGAGCAGTTTCGGAGTCCATAACGTTCAAACATATATATGTTTGTTATTATTGTTTTAGAATGCTCAAACAATATACAGGGTGGCGCAGATGGATCGGGTGGTTTTAAAATACTTGTCAAAATGTCAATTTTAAAGGTATTGGATTGAAATAAAGTGCAAAACGTGTAGTAACAATGGAAGTTTAATAACAAAAAATTAGTTAAGTTAGTTTTTAAAAATTACATCCATCAAATGCCTTCCTTCTCGAGCTACGCATTCTTGGAGTCGGTCCTTAAGGTTCTGCATTGCTCGCTCAAGCACATCACCAGGAATTGATGTGATTTTGTTGTGAATTGCAGCCTTCAACTCCTGGAATAGTCCGAGGTTTGTTCATGTAGACCCTTGCTTTTAAATAGCCCCATAAGAAAAAGTCACATACCGTGAGGTCCGGTGAGCGAGGGGGCCAGTGGAAATCTCCATTACGGGAAATCATACGGCCAGGGAACAAAGCGCGTACAGCTTGCATTGATATCCTAGCGGTATGTGCAGTTGCCCCGCCTTGTTGGAACCACATATTGTCCATGTCGTAATTGTTCACTTCAAGTTGTGGGAGAAGAAACTCTTCAATTATGTTCACATAACGCTGTGAATTAACAGTAACCGCCTGCTCCCTTTCATTTTCAAAAAAGTAAGGCCCAATTATCCCTACCTTAGAAACACCACACCAAACTGTCACTTAGACACTATGGAGAGGCCGTTGTTGTAGGTCTCTTGGGTTAGTGTCGGCCCGATAATGGCAATTTTGCTTGTTGACGTAGCCGTTAATGTGAAAGTGAGCCTCATCAGACATCATGATAATCAGGTTTTCATCTTCCAATAACTCCAACATCCGTTGGCTAAACTGAAGCCTTTGAAGATGGTCTGTTGGGAGAATCTTTTGCACCACCATGATTTTATAGGGGTGGAATTTCAGTTCTTTGTTAAGAATCCTTTGAAGGCTCCGACGTGACATTCCAAGAGCTTGAGCACGACGTCTAGTTGATGGACGTGGGCTCGTAGCGACATCGTGTCTCACACGCTCCACGTTGTCAGGTGTTCTTACTGTTCGAGGTCTAGGCGTCCATTTTGCAGCACATGAACCAGTAGTGCGGAAATTATGCACCCAACTCATAATCGTATCTCGCTTAGGAACACTACCGCAAGGTGGGATGTTGAAATGCCGGCGAAAGGCACGCGTCACAGCAGCAATTGACTCGTTATTGTGGATAAACTCTTCCACTGAGAAAACACGATGCTCAACGGACCACATGGCCATCACGACTGACTGCCAGTCTGCAACTGAGACTTCCGGTCCCCCCACCACAGGACGAAGACCGCCAAACACCTGGGTCCCTCCTCCCAGACGTACGGTACACTTCAAAACCACCCAATCCATTTGTGCCACCCTGTATATATACATACAAACTTCCTCTTTTATAGATATAGATGTATTTAAACACTAGGTAAATAACACTAGGTAAACACTTAGAAATTTAGAATTAAATGATTTCTAAATTTAACTCATAATTTAACTGTATAAAAGACGCTAAAGACCAAGTTCCTACTTCACAAACTTACAAGGCTCTTTTAATATATTTATAGCCCAAGACTTAATTTTTACCTGAGAAGATAGAGAGCAACCCAGAGTCAGTAACATGGTGAATACAACTCCTAGAGTGAACACTGTAGATGGCTGGAAGGCTATGCCAGAGATAATGAATTCGTAAAAAGCTGAAAATGATTAACAATGTTAGATGGATGGATGGATACAACATATATGGAGTTAGTAGTGCTCTATGCTATATGATGAGTGATGGTTTTTAAGTTATTCATCCATTCCTGTGCACTCCATTTTTAACTCAATAGTAGGGCTACACAATTAAATACATTGCTAAGCCTCCTTGTCATTGACCCAATGCCGGATTTGCCACTAGGCCGACTGTGCAGCGGCTTAGGGCCACAATCAAAATGGGGCCACAGCAATTGGTACAAAAGCAGTTTTAGAACAAAAATTGAATTTTTTTTATCAATAATTTACTACAATAATGGGTGACGATGAGGATGTCTCCCTGTGAGATCGCAGGTGATATTTATGATTTTGTCGCAAATGCCGGTGAAGATAATAATGTCTCCACGATCGCTGGAGTTGTTCACAATTCTATCACGACCGCAGTGCCAATAATGATGCCCCATTTACGCTGAAGTTGTTCAAGATTAATTCAGGCAGTTGCCAGTGACGGTGATCGTTTCCCTGGGATAACAGAGATGTTCAAAATTGTTATGCGATCACGGAAATGATGATGTCCGCCGCTATCGTAAGAAAATCTTTATCGCCACTTTCAATTCCAGCCTGCTACAAAAAGCTTCAGCGATTGTGGGGACATTATTGTAGTCAACATCGTCATCGTCACCCATCATATTTGTGGTGAATTGTTGATTTTATAATATAAAATTTGAATTTTAGTTCACAATTTTGTACCAATTGTGTAGGAAAATTTAAACTTAACGGCAGGGACCGTCTATAGAAGTGTTTATTTAGTTTTTAAATCTGGCTCTGCTTTTACCAGTTATTCTGAATCATAATTGTCCATCTAAGTAGGCCTTTCTCTTTTGGAAGCTTTAATATAAAGTAAAACTTAAATTGAAAAAACACAAAAAAAAACAATGAATGTGGATCAAAAATATAAGGGCTAAAATACACACACTTACCAAGCCCGACAATTAACCCGAACACACTTCCGATCAGCATTCTGTAGATTAAGCATTCATTTTGTTCCCCAAAAATAACACGATTCATCAATGGAACCTGTTGTTTGGTCTGTTTTTGTACACCTTAAACATTCAAATGTAAGCAATAATTTTTTTCTATAGGCTATTCAACAAACAATCTCTGTTGGGTATGTAGTTTAAAATTTATTTCCTGTTTATTTATAAGTTTTGATGATTAATAAATAGTCATTGTTAGCCATTTCCCATTATAGTCAGCCATCGATATTAGCCCTTTGTAGTTGGGAACAGTATTTTACTATTGATACAAGACATTCCATCCCCATATCCATATTAAAGTTGTTGCCAGTTATTACATCAAAATCATCATACCCTACAATTAAAATAATTTATTAAAACACTGTTAGCGGTACGTGAGACACTGCTTGATTGTGCTGATCTAACTTAAATTACTAATTTCTGCTGAATTCACAAGTTACCTTTTTACCAAGCTATAACTTAGCAACTGACCCATCAACTAGATATCAGCAACAAAAATAAGTTAAAAAGTAGAATTTTAGAGAATAACTTATTCTGTGACTTGCTCACACTCAGTTACTACCTAACTTACGGTAAGTAATGTTTATTTTAAATTACAAATTGGCGACAGCTGGAATAGCCAACCGAGTGTTAGGTGGGATGTCTACTTCTATAATCCATATTATCCTATATTTATATAATATGAGTAAGGCTTAAAGTTTGAATATTTGTTACTTCGATCTCCAAATTGGCACCACATATATACTTACGAAATAACTAAGTTCTGTGCCAAAAATAAGTTCTAGACCAGTGGTAGCCTATAGCCAGGAAAATCTATTTTTGCCATAATATGAGTAGGCCTACAAACTTTTGAAAATATAACATGGGCCTTATGGGACGCCATTCTTTTGATTTGTTTCTTTTGATTGTTGTTGTTCTTTTGATAATTTACATGTTTATTATCAACCCGTTTATTGCTTATCATTGGCGATAAACAAAACCAAAATTTGTTAACAATCCTCAATCTCAGGTTTTTGTTTAAAAAATCTATGTTAAAAAAATGTTGTGTACCGTACCATACTATGTGTGCTACGTCTTGGAACAGTTACCATTTACAAAATGTCTTCATCTTCTATATATCTTCAACTAAGTTAATTACTGTAAATATAACTGAATAAAACTTTGTCTTTTCCTTAAACTCATTGATTACTAGCACTACTTTAAAAACTCAGTAGCAGACAAGAAGCAACTGAACAATTGTATAATAATCGCACCAGTGACAATGCCTACTGCTACTGCAACAATTATTGCTGAGCTATAATCGTCCAACAACTGCAGATCCAGATGCACCAGTGACAATGCACCTTTAGAGGTGCGGCCTGCTGTGCTGTAGCTCAACTGAGTAAGTAAACACAATACAGACCGTGAGCGATCTGCAGTGCTAAGGACTGGCTCAAGACATTTATCAAGTATATGCAACTGCATGTCTGTAAATCTGTAGGAAATAAATGTTTGAGTATTGGTTCCCTGTTAAGTTAACTTAGTGGCTGGATAAACCAAGGACTAGTAAAACCGAGGCTGGATATCAGGGTTTCTACTTTATATCGTCGCTACCCTAGTGAAAGGGACATTTATTAACATTATGGCCTTCTTGAGATGTAAGAAGTAAGGATGCATCATCTTGTAACTTAGGCCTAAGGCTATATAATAAGTTAGGCCTTAGTATTTCTTAAGGCTATGATTTGCAAATTAGCGTACAGTAGAGTATGAAAATTACTACTTATTTTTGTTCTAACTCATCACAAAGTTAAAATCTAACTCGAACCGTAAGTAAGTTAAGTTACCTAACTTTATTAAGTTGCTCAGCTGCATTTCCTTATAAAATTGAGGATCAGCCTACTCACTGGATTTTAGGGTAAGTTGGCTGCACTTTACTTTAGGTCCTACACTCATTCAAATGAAAATATTGATTATTCGATATATCGTTTGGTTAGTTAGGTAAGGTTAACCTAACCTAACTAACCAAAGGATATATCGAATGAAACAATCGAATAATCAATATTTTCATTTGGTTGTTTGTGTAGGACCTAAAGTAAAGTGCAGCCGGTAAGCTAGTAAGGTAAGCTGATAGCCTAAATAAATTTCTTAAAATATGTAGGCCTATGTTTAACCATTAGACTCCTCATCCCATTGTAAATTTGAAGTGTTTTTGTTGTCTAGTTCATGTAAGTCCACACTGTCCCTGGGGTAGACGAAATTTTGTTTATATTATTTTAGGGGTTTTTTCATGATTTGTGCTTTACTATTTGGTTATAAGTTATAGCTAGGAGACCAGTTGTTGTTTATGATTATGTCATTTTATTTTGTTAAATGTGGCTTTAAATGACTGAAATAACAAGAAACAAATTTAAAAAAAAACACGATCTCTGATTTCTACAGTTGGACGTACCTACAGAACTACAATAAGTTAGGTATTGTGAATAATACTGTGAATTTATGATTTTGTCGCAAATGCCGGTGAAGATAATAATGTCTCCACGATCGCTGGAGTTGTTCACAATTCTATCACGACCGCAGTGCCAATAATGATGCCCCATCATCGCTGAAGTTGTTCAAGATTAATTCAGGCAGTTGCCAGTGACGGTGATCGTTTCCCTGGGATAACAGAGATGTTCAAAATTGTTATGCGATCACGGAAATGATGATGTCCCCGCTATCGTAAGAAAATCTTTATCGCCACTTTCAATTATGTGGTAAGCTTATTTAGTAAGCTAGTAAGGTAAGCTGATAGCCTAAATAAATTTCTTAAAATATCTATGTTTAACCATTAGACTCCTCATCCCATTGTAAATTTGAAGCGTTTTTGTTGTCTAGTTCATGTAAGTCCACACTGTCCCTGGGGTAGACGAAATTTTGTTTATATTATTTTAGGGGTTTTTTCATGATTTGTGCTTTACTATTTGGTTATAAGTTATAGCTAGGAGACCAGTTGTTGTTTATGATTATGTCATTTTATTTTGTTAAATGTGGCTTTAAATGACTGAAATAACAAGAAACAAATTTAAAAAAAAACACGATCTCTGATTTCTACAGTTGGACGTACCTACACAACTACAATAAAATTGGCTTCAGCTGTTCCAAGGATGACAAATCTACTGGTCTTACTTACAACTTTATTAACATACCTTCTAATAATAAAGGAATGATTTTTAATAAATTTAACTTCCCACCATACTTATCTTGCTTTAAAAAAATCATTTTCCACCTAGGCCTAAGCCTATCACTGAAAATCCGAATTCGAGCACAAGTATGTACACTAGTTTGGCTTAATACTGGACTGGCGAATTGTGATATCAATCAGAGGTTCATTTGCTTGTACTGTAGGTCTTTAGAACTTTAGCTGTAGTCGATTTTTTTATTTACTTTTCTATACATAAGTTATGTTGTTCTTGAACTTGAAATTAATCAGATAACAATGAATTGTTTTCGTTCTATAATTTTGATTCAGAAAAAAATCATTTTCCGTCCTCGTACAGGTACACTCCTCCTCATAGTACAGATAACAATAAAAACCAATAGACACTAGACGGAGGATATCATTGGTTATTCTCAGTATGTACCATACTATGCTATAACTTATTGAATTAGTTTGAAAATCGGCCACCTAAGCTCTTTATAACTACGGCCCATACTACGGACGACTTTAACTCCATACCGAGTTTTCGAGTTTGAATTTGGTCGCCTTTAACTACAGGCCGCGGCCTTCGAACTGGCAACGTCGCAAGTGGTGTTGTAACAGCTGTTTTTGTTTTGGAAGCAGCTAATTTTATTTGTGTATTTACGAAAGATTGGTTACTGGACTATGACAATATTTACTCCGCTTAAAAATGTACAGATATAGGTTTTAATTCATATTGTTTCTGTTTCCAATTCTGTGGGTTTTATTTTCAATATTTTAATACATTTATGTTCATAAATTTAAATTTAAATCAATAAAGTGCGAATTAATGAGCTGATGTCACCTGTCTGCCATGTTATCTTATGCGACGTCTTTCGCCGAACAACACCACTTGCGACGTTGCCAATTCTACCAGGCCGCGGCCTGTAGTTAATGGTGGCCGTGGTTCATACGTGTCAAATCACGACCGCCTTTAGCAACAGACGCTACGGACGCTGGATCAGGCCTATGATACAGAAAGTTAAACCTTGGGTTAATCGGCGGTGCGGAGAGGTGGACTTCTACCTAACCCAATTTCTGACGGGTCACGGCTTTTTCCGGTCGTACCTGTTCAGGATGAGCAAAGCCGTGTCACCCGATTGTACTGCCCAGGCATTCCCGATGACGTGGAACATACCCTTTTCCACCGCCAGCGTTGGGAAAGGCCCTGCCTGGAGGCTCAACAGTTAGTATAGGACTGCTGACGGTGAACACGGTCATACCACATACCGATGATAACGGAGGGTGAAGACAATTGGACCAGTGTGTTACATTACATCCAGGGTATTCTCCGTGCCAAGAAGCTCGACCTTGACCGGGATGCGGCGTAGGTCATTAAGTAAGTATCCAAATGCCAGAAACGGCGAGAGCCCTGAGGGCTTAGGTCACATGTTGGACTGACTTGAAGTAATGTGACAAACAATTCCAGGTCTGTGTCCAACAGATCAGAGGGGGTTTTGTAGTGAGTAGTCTGTGATAAATTCAAGAGTCTCACACTTAGTCGCTACCTATATGCGTAAAAGCATTTCCCATCCTCTCCCTTAAAAAAAACCCATGGAGTGAAATTATAAAAAAATGTGAGCATTTAGCATTGTTTAATGAGTAATAAATAAGTGCGTAGAAACAATAATGACTATTGCGTTGGTTACAAAATATGGTTGATCATTTAACGAATAACATATTAAGGAACTCGGCAGCGTTCCGCCCCGCCATGTCCCCCAGCGGTACGCAGCTGCTGCAGTGTATATATATATATATATGTATATGTATATGTATATATATATATGTACATGACGTGACAAAGTGGCTTTTTTACTCGTCTTTAGCTCTGAAGAAACAAAAGCTAAAATAATTGTTCATCTACTGGATGGGGGCACTCATTCTCAACAAAATAAAAATAAAAAAATTTAAAAACGGTTGTGATTGAGCCAAGAAAAACTAGTTTGAAAATTCGCAAATTTTCCGTGTTCTCCTTCTCCTCCTCCTTCTCCATGAATGTTGACGGACCTACAGCCCGAACCACTGGCTCAATTTTAATGTTTTGTAAGTTGTTTGAAAGCCCTTAACGTGTAGATGAGAGATGTGCCTTTCGAGGGTCTGAAGTCCGTGCGTTGACCCATAAACCCTTGGCAAGCCCTCAAAGTACGATTTTGGCCTATTTAAATAACATGGGATTAAAACCAAAACAAAAGAGGGACCAGCTGCGATTAAATCTTAATTAATTTAAATGTTAGAGAACAGCTGATAATTATTTTAAAACTTTTAACTCGATAATTTGATCTTTAGTACAGCTCGTACAGCTACACAAAGTTTGGTTAGTCATAACCAAAGATAACACTTAGTTATTTGATTTTCCAACAGTCTCACTCAGACCATATGTTTATAGTTCTATGACTCAGACACAGCTGTATTTATTTTTTCTCCAGACAATTAAACTTAAACGTCAGTCCGTCACTCATTCCATTCTCAAATCAAATCTAAATCTGAACTCATTAATCCTTCTCGCTCGCATCGCATGACTTATGTCAGTGTCTTGTTTTATCATTTTTGGTTGGAGTAGTGAGGCTGGTGTCTGTTAGACCATAGACTAACCGTTTTATCTATGGTTAGACTGTGCTGGTGCTGGTGTTGTTATTGTTTGACTCTTTTTACTCGAAAGGGAGCATTTTTGAAGACAGAAAATTTATTTCATAAGTCTGAAAATATGGTGTGTGCACTCTACGATTTTAGACACCTAAGTTATACCTAATAAAGCTGTTAAACCTAGGTATTATAGTTTTAGGTTACATATAAATAACTTTGTTTTGGATGCAACAAAGTAAATTTCATTGAAAATAGTAACATAGGCTAACCCTAGAACCCTAAATCTTTACAGTACTAACAAATTAATTCATAAATAACCCGCACAGTAAACTTGCAGACGAAGCAAATTCCCATTTGCCTGATAAGATTTTAGGCATTGTCTTTAAATAGCAGATTTATTTTTATTAACATTAAATTTAACAAGTAGCCTAGATTTAGAGGGGTACTAAACTGACTTACCTACCGGATAGGCCGATGGATAGGCCGACAGACGTAGTGCTACTGACTAGTAATGTTCACTTAGAAGCATCGGTCCACCCGGTTTACTTAGGATTGCGGCTACAGAAAGGGTAATATAGGGCGCGTGCCGCTCAAATACCAAAAATCAAAATTCATCAAATAGCCTACGCAAAGAAAATAGTGACTTGAAACGTAAGATATTCTTAACACTAGGTAGGTTAGCCTAAGTTTATCTAAAATTGTATTGGTGGGATAACTTATAGGTACCGGTTACACACTTAGGCCTATGTTTTTATACCTATATTTACAAAAGAGCTTCAGGACAAATCTAGGAGGTTAAACATTAAGGAGAGGGCACGCAAATAGAGATATACATGTTGCCGTGAAGCCAGCTTTAGCAGAACACTTGAGGGACATGCAGAGCCGTAGAGTAGCAAATATAAGCCGCGGCTATGTAATGGGATGGATAGGGGAAAACATTCAGTATTAATCTTATAACTCTATGCATGTTTTTTTCTATCTATTTAACTGTACAGCTATTTATTTATCGTAGCGTCTGTGATATGAGCCTTTCTATTTTGTATGCTAAAATGTGACTGTGATAATGTATCGCTATTGTTTTATATGTGTGTCTCTGACGAGGTCTATTGTAATCAATGATTATTTAATGACCAATAAATTACTTGATTACATAACACATGCTGTTTCGAATTAAAATTGCCGCCAAACTAACTTAAATTACCCGTGTTACTTACCAGTGACATTTTTAAAGTAGCCTAAATTAAATTTCCTATCCAATGGTATTTACCATTTACCATTTTTACCATCCGGTGTCTTCTCCACAATCCAGGGATCGGGGAATCGTCAAACTTCTTCCTGGGACCAGGGGAATGATGGGTTTGTAGGCCTATTCACGTCTCAGGTGTTGGAAAGTGTGCTCCACAATAAATTCGAAGACTGTGTAGTATGGCCTATATGTTAAGTATTGTTTTAGTTTACTATTGAAGGTGACAGGTTTTTTGATGGTTTTGAGTTGTGGTGGTAATAAATTGAAGAAGTAAGAGCCAGAATAGTGAGGACTATTGTTGAATTTCTGCAATCGATGTTGTGGCAGGTCTATGTTATGTGTGTTGCGGAGGTTGTATGAATGTTGTTCTGATCTCAGGGTAGGTGTCGATTGTTTTGCAAGTGTGATGGATTCCAACAGGTACAGGGATATAACTGTAAGGATTTTGTGTTCTCTGAAAATCGGCTTGCAGTATTCATGATTTGGCAGTTGAAAGATTGTCCTTATGGTCTTCTTTTGGATGGTGAGGATGCGTTCCATGTTCCTGTCCGCTGTGGATCCCCATGCAGCAATCCCATAACGCAAATGTGAACAAAAGAGGGAGTGGTAGGCTATTAATGCTGTAGGTTCATTGGCGATGGCTCTAATTCTTCGAACAACGTGGTGTGCAGAAGATAGTTTCCCACAGAGGTAGTCAACGTGGTCCTGCCAGCTGAGATTTTGATCGACATATATTCCGAGGAACTTTGTTGAGCGCGATAGGGGTATGCTGAGGTCATGCCAATTGCCACCAGATTCGTTTTTGTTGTTAGGAGTAAAGTTTACGAGGACAGTCTTAGCTTTGTTGATATTAAGTTTCATAGAATTGCACGTAGTGGCTGCGCTGTCAATTGTTGAGTTTACTAGGTTACTATTGTCAATATGATGGTTGGTGAGTACTACTATGGTTGTGTCATCTGCAAATAATATACAATTTATGTTGCCGTTGAATGATTCTGGTAGGCTGTTGATATAAATCAGGAAAAACAGTGGACCAACTATCGAGCCCTGTGGAACGCCTCTGGTAGTCTTCCTCAAACTTGACTTGATGCTTGATACAGTGTTTTGCTGCTGGTGCTGAATTTCTACAAACTGGAGTCTGTCTGTAAGGTAGTCTACAATCCAACGCTGGGCTTTGTCTGTAATGTTTAATTGTTGCAGTTTGCTCATAAAAATATTCCAGTCTAAGTTATCGAATGCTTTTTGCAGGTCTAGAAAAATTCCTGTTGCACTTTTTTTACCTTCCCAGATGCTATTTATGTCCTTGCATAGCTTAGCTATTGCTGTGTTTGTGCTAAATCCCTTCCTAAACCCATGCTGGCAAGGGGAAAGTGTTAAAGCAATTTCAATAAGCCTGCTTATAATGTCATATAAATCATGAAACATATGACATTATTTATAATGTGTAATTGTTTAGTTCAGTTTGTATTGGTGTTGTGTTCTGTTCTGTCTATTAAAAGTTAAATTTAATTTCCAAACAAGTCTTAAAGTTTCCTACTAATAACAGAAAGTAGGTTGTTGTCTTCCAAGTAGGCTATTAGCTGATTATGGATTGACCTTTCAAGCAGTTTGGAGATGGTGGGTAGGTTTGAGATAGGCCTATAATTATTGGGGTCCAACCTTTTGCCCTTTTTAAATACTCGGTAAATTTTGGCAATTTTCATTTTACTGGGGACAACGGCTTGCTGTATGGACGAATTTATTATGTGGTGGACTGGTTTTAGAAGTTTGGTTTTGCAAAATTTGAGGATTTTCCCAGACAGATCGTCATAACCAGCTGAGTTGTTGGACTTTATTTTGTTCCAGAGTTTGTCGAGTTCGATTTCTGAGAGGTTTTTGAACATTGAAAGCGGGGGTAGGCCTGTATTGCTTTCCTTTTGTGGCGCACCTGTGCCTGTATGCTGTTGGTTACTTTGTTGAGCAAATAATTTGTTAAAAATGTTACTGACATGGTATGGATCTGTGATAGTTTTACTATTGTTGACTAGGCTAATCTGGTTTGTTTGGTTACATGATTTGCTTCTTTCCTTGTTCACTGTCCTCCACAATTCTCTTGTTTTGTTTTCGGCTTGTGTGATTCTATCTATGGTGTGCTTTTGTCTCCTACTTTTTACCTCAAAATCATACCTCTTCTTCAGTTCTTGGAATTTGCACTTGTCCTCTAGAGATCCTGTTTGATGATATTGATCCTGCGCTGCACATAAAGTGTTTTTTTGGTTAATTAGCTCACTGTCCCAGAAGACATGTTTATTTGAATTGTTGATTTTTTTAGGCTCTTTTGGCATTACGTGGTCCATGTTAAGTCGAATAATTTCTATAAAGTTGTTGTATTTAGCCTCCACTGTTGTTGGTTGGAAGACTGGTTCCCAATCAACTTGTTTCAGTTGATCCCTTAGTTCAGCTCCAATTTCACCCTAGACAAATTCCTGGTGTATTTATATGTTGCTTGGTGTGGTTTATTTTTGTTTTTTACTTTGCAGACCAGATAGTGGTGATCAGATATTGTCGTGTTATACGCTTTAGTCTCAATTTCATACTTTTGGATATTGGAGTAGCATCCATCTATACTTGAGGTTGAGGTCGGTGTTCTCCTTGTCACTGGAATGTGGTAAATGTAGCAGCCATGTTCAGCTAGAATGTTTTTAAGATGTTTTACTCCTGGTTCTTCCGGCTTCAAGATATTAAAGTTGGCATCACCCAAAATTACGATTTGGTCAGCTCTTGTCGAGTGCAGTCTGAGTAGGTTGTTAAGTTTTTCCAGGAAAACCATTTCAGTTCCAATGTTTGGAGACCGGTAACATCCAATTAAGACAAGGTTGTGGAATTTATATTTGATCTATTAATTATTTCCGGCAAACATTAAGTTATTTAAGTTATTATTTAGGCTACTATTGGAGATCAAAATTGGGAGAATTGTCTCGGACTTTGAACATATGATTACTTTAATTCAGTTTTTGAAATAAATAGGCCTAATGTATGATGTAAGCCTATCTATAAATAATCAATTTATTCGTGTTCCCCTAAAGGGTTTCTCAAAATAAAAATAATATAGACTATTTACCAATAGTTAGTCGGAGTATTAAAAAAAAACCATATTAACTTAAGTCAAGTGGAGTAAGTGTACGCCCCGGTCAAGTGGCTTTCCAGCTACAGTAGACTCCCTCTTATTCGGACTCCTCGGGACCGAGGCCAGTCCGGATAAAGTTTTTCCGGTTAAACTGACTTCCCCAAAAATTTTTAGAACGGACCGTTTAAATGCATACTGTATACAGTATTATTCTACTTAAATATAAGAGAGCATTTTATTTAGACACGTGATCACTTAGCACCGCCCACTTCCTGCCGATCTAGTCCAGTTAAACCGATGTGCTGATAACAATTGTCCGGTTAAAGAGATGTCATTTCTGCCGAATGTAGTCCGGTTAAACCAATGTCCGGTTAAAAGGTGTCCGGATAAGAGGGAGTCTACTGTGATAATAAATTTGTTTATTAAAAAAAAATATAAAAACTTGGCCAAAGGTATTTCAAACTATGCTTTTAGTGAATTTTCCATATAGGGAATGAGCTATTACCATAGGTCTCATGGTAAGACCTGGACCCGGGACTGATTGTCTTTTTCGTTTTGAGGTCCCCAAAGGCCAAAAACACGATCCGTTCAAATTCATATATATAAATATTTATTTATATAGTTACATTTTAAATGTGTGTCCGTTAGCACGATAACTTAAGCAAAAATGTTGCTGAAATTTGGTATAAACGTGTAAACCTACATTCATTCTAACGATTTTGCGAACCAGCATGATCGGACAATGTGAACAGGGGTTTATGGGGGCTTTTATGAGGTAAAATGTGGTTTCCCATTTTTCACCTAGAAAACATAGGTAACATTTTGCAATTTCTTTCCAGACCATTTTGTTGACCTCTAAAAAACAAATAATTTAGTATATTAAAGCATTGTTGTACATGCCTAACGGTTACAGAAAAAAATTTCCAAAAAAGTGTAAATTTAAAATGTGTTATTCTTATGGAGAATAAATAAACTGTAGCAGCTTGCTTGTCTATGGACATATTTTAATCAAATTTGGAAAATTTGTTTAGTTCATACTAAGCTATTAATATTTGAGTAAAACACACCTTATTGTCTCCCTGTAGCAGTAAACCTACGTACCTATTAAAATTAATGATATTTAAATAGGAAATAAATCTGACAATTTAAGGGAATTATTAAGTGGAATTCCAGCCAGGTGGATGGAAATTCGCTTAAGGCGGCACACTATCGATCTTTTCCCCGATCAAGACCCCGAACCGAGCAGGGAGAAGGGAGATAAATTTCAGCAAAATTTCACTCCGAACATTTCCCCGAACAAGACCAAGACCAGACGAATTCTACCGAGCGCGGCAAAAGGAAGTTTAGAGAGAGATGGAGAGTGTGTGCGAGTGAGAGCACGTTAAAAGTCGCTTTTTGAAAACTTGTCGCAAAAATAAAATATTCTAGAAAGGATGCTTAGTTATATGCATTGATTTTTATTGGTTTTATTCATTGAAATAACGTTACAGAATAATAATTTTAGTTATTTTTTAATTCGCTAATATTCCCTATATGGGAAATTCGCTAAAAACCGAAATAAAGCTCATTTTCAGCTCTTTCTTGCTACAAATTCATGTTTTTTTTTTTTTTTTATAAAAAAACATAATACCAAACACTTCAAAGAATAAGCTGAGCAAATTTGAAGTTGTACTAACTTGTGTAATTTGGGGCGTTCACTTGACCCACTTCCCACTTGATCTTTAACTTTTTTTAGTTTTTGCAGTTTATAAACCAAGTTTATTAAGTTTAGTTTTTAAATTAAAATCCAATTTAGATTGTGAAATTAAAATTAAATTACCATTCCTTACTACTTTCTCAAATGTTCAATACAGTTTTTTTGCTACTTTTAATGCATTTTTATGTGCTAGGCAAGTAATTTGAAATAGCCAAAGTCAAGAAAAAATTCAAAGCGGCTTCCTCATTTATTACACTCACAGCCATTCTAATTAATTATGAACATAAAAAGTAAAACATTTCCTTAGCCATTGAATGTTCAATTTGTTACTGTATGTCATATTGAGCCATAGGCTAGATAGCTTGATGTTTGTTAAGAAGTATCAAATAATCTTTGTGTAAATTGTGAAATCTTTCAGTTCTCGCATCCTCTGATGCCACATTGCGTACTTATCATTATTTTATAGTTTTAAAACTTATTTGATTTATTTTTATACAAAAAATGTTCAAATACCGGTACTTATATTTCTTTATGATTTGAGTATAGGATTATGGAATTATGGAATTGGAATTAGGAATTGGATTATGGAATGGATTATGGTATTGGAGTGTATTCAATATTAACACAATAGTAGTAGGGGAAAAAATAAAAACATTCATCCTTTAACTGTAAAATAAAAAATAAAAAAAAATATCTGATCATGTTAGGATTTATTATTGGTTCATGAATACACATTCTTCCTCTTAGATTTTGCAATTCTAATTTTAGTTGGTTCTTAATGAACTTCTTTGTTTGCATGATCTGCGTAGTCTTAAACAAATCTTTTAAATACTTTAGGCCTACTGCTATTTCAGTAACTAAATGCCTAATATGACATTCTAACGGTCCTTATTGGCTGGTGAGTTTGGTTAGCTTTAAAAATTTTACTATGTATGTCTCTAAACACAGTATCTCCCCCCCACACTATAGCACGGTGCGCGGTTGGGATGGCTTCAACGAAACTCGAGCGTGCCCCCTCCTTAGTTTAATTCTCCTAGAGACAAATGGTAATTTTTCAACTACAGACTTAGTTAAGCATTCTATAACATGACAAATAGATAAAACAATCGGAACGTTTCAAAACCCATCTCGCAACAATTACAGCACACATCGTTGAATATAGTAGCTAACATAATTTTATTGTTGTCTTTTTAAATGTTTTATTTTGCACGGCGATAATCTGTATACTGTTTGTAATATAATTTCTTAACAAGAAGTTACCTGTAAGTTGATTGATTTGTAATAAGTCTAGTACAATATACAATTACCCTGATGGTACAGTGGATACAGAGGAGGGGGGAGTATATAGGTCAAACATGGGTGTCCATTAATATGGCTGGAGAGGAGGGGATTGACTCTGCCTATGCAACCCCATGTAAACATATTTTTTTAAGATTTGCAGTAAAAACGTAACATTAAAATAAACCACCAGACCATGTCAAAGAATGAGTGTTAAACAATGGGTGATTCACCTGCTGTACAGCAGGTGGATTACACTGTAGGATTACACCTACAGTAGCCAGCAGGCCTAAGTAAGCTTTGAAATAAAATAAGTTACCAGCACCTCCGTTTGAGCAAATCTTTAAATAGCCATGTTGTTATGTGTAAGAAAGCTTATAAAGGTAGTTATTAATGTAAATAAGTATCCACAAAAACTATTTTTAAAAAAATTCAGTGACTGGCTCTTAAGAAATCCTTTTTACAGTATTGAAGAGTTCCTAGAACAACCTGTGATAAGTCTGTAACTTTGTATCCAAAGCTGTTAATTATTTCTATATAGTCTATTTTTGTTTTCTTCAACTTTGTTAATTGTTCATTTGTTAAATTCTTTATAGTCTATTGTGATTGTTAACCCTGTAGTTAAAAGGAATTTGTACAACATAGACTCATACCCAAGTTACCTCTGATTATTTAGACAATGAACATTGAAATTTTATGTTCTGCTCCACTGACAATGTCAATGCATGTAAATGTCCATGATAATAAATGATTTGATTTGATTTGAAATCAATTTTAAAAACAATTTAAAAAGGGTATAAAACTGTGCATCTTAACCATTTGGCCTACCTACATTTTTCGGGATACCCTTCTTTACTAAGGGTTATTCCGTACTCCAAAGAAACCTCGACCCCCTTATGGAAAAGTTAGATGGAGCCGAAATTGTAACTTGAAGCCTAAATTACAAAATGTCTCCTATTAATAAGAATAGCTTCAATTAGACTAATTTATTTTCTCTGTTACAGGAAGTGAACATGGATCAAAAAGAAGCTTTGAGCAGAAATAGACTGATGTTGGTCAACAAATAACAAAAAAAATTATTCAATTGGAAAACTTGCATCAATAAATTGAATCTTTACTGTAGTTTGGAATCTCTCCTTTAAAAAAGCTAAAAAATATGTTGACATATTTCCCCAAGAAATAAATAGAAAAATGTTATTGGTATTTACTTTTACAAACACAATTATAAATTGTTAAGACAATGGAACAACAAGTGTCTAAGGAAATTATTTGTGCGTTCTGCAATAAAACAGTTGATAGTGTGAATAGTTTAAATGTGCACATGTTAGAGCACGCAAAAGACTTATTAGATCAAAATAAAGACAGATCCATTAAATGTATTTCAAGAACTAAAAGTGATACAGATATCCCAAAACAACTCAAGAAGCTTGAATTTCGATGCTCCATTTGCAATAAGACATTTGGTACAAACGGTGCTTTAAAAGTTCACCAGTACAAGCATACTGGGCAGTATCCGTTTGTTTGTAATATTTGTAATTTAGGTTTTCCGATCAATTCAAAGTTCAAGGAACATCTACAAAGGCATAAAGGAGAACGCCCCCACATGTGTGAAATATGTAATAAAACATTTATCCAGAAAAAATGTTTAAGAATCCACTTATTGACTCATTCTGATACATTAAAACACAAGTGTCCAATTTGTCAAAAATCATTCCGGCATAATGGAAGCTTTAAACGACACGTTAAAAACCATGATGAGAAGAATGGACCAGCTGAAAAGTGTCCTGTATGCAATAAAGAATTTGTGTTTAAAGGTTATTTAAAGGTCCATATGAAGATTCATTCCGGTGAGCGCCCGTATCAATGTGAAGAATGCGGAAAAACGTACACATTTGCTGAATCCCTGAGATGCCACAAGAAAACTCACAGTGTTGAAAAACCTTACCAGTGTACTCAATGCGACAAAAAATACAGATTCCGCGGCCAACTGCACTATCACCTTCGACAACACCGTGGAGAACGGCCCTTCAAATGCAATGTTTGCAATAAAGCATTCTCCCGAAAAGTATTGTTGAGGGTTCACACATTCAATCATACTGGGGAAAGACCTCATAAGTGTTCTATTTGCAACAAAGGTTTTACGATAAAAGGTAGACTGGATGTTCATATGAAGACTCACAGCAGAGTTAAGCCCTACCAATGTGCTTTGTGTGACAAGAGTTTTGCTGCTAAGCAAACCTTAAAGGCTCACCAATTATGTCATGTAAGTGAGCAACTATTTAGATGTGATATTTGTAACAAGTCCTTTTATCAAATTCAATCATTTAAGGATCACATCAAGACACACTTGGAAACCAAACCGCTCAAGTGTTATATCTGTAATGAAGTTTTCAGCTTGAAGTTGCATCAGAAGAACCATCTGAAAACTCACCTAATGTATTCACAGTGTTCTGTTTGCAACTCCATTTTCAAAGATGATCAGGACTTGAGTCATCATATCTCGTGTCATAGTGAGAAACCTGAACTGAATGAATCAAGTAACAGTGATCTTCCGAAACAAATCTCTGGAACAAATAAGTTTTTGAGTCACAGTGAAGAATATTGTACTGAACAACTTTTACAGTGCAAATTATGTCGGGAATTTTTTGGAAGAGGAGCTCTGAAGAAACATATCTTGCTTCATTCTAAATCCTGGGCTCAAAAAGTAACTCCAAGCAAACTTTTTAGATATAATGTAAATACTCAGGTAGAAAAAATAAGTGAAAATCTTCACATTTGTAAGATCTGCTGCAACGTTTACAAATCAAAGGAAAATGCTGTTATGCATCTGTTGGTTCATAAGTACATTCACTCAGTCTTTATTAAGAAACTTTTACGTCAAACTACAAGAGTCAGAGGTAAATTTAATAAAGTAAATTCAAAGAAATTACATTTCCACTGCATTTTTTGTATCAGATCGTTTAGGGATAGTGAATCATTAACTGATCATATATTAACTCATTCAGTGTAAAGACTTAATATACGAGGGCTATCCAGAAAGTAGATTACGTTTTCGTCTGTATCCGCTAGGGGCGGGGCTGACCATCTTGGTGTTAGTTCGTTATGCAGCTCAGTCGGCATCTAGCCGTGCTAGTAAGAGGTTTCTGTTACTCCGTTGAGTTACTGTGACACTTTGAAATTTCTTTGTTAATTAAAAATTCCGCGAACTGTGAAGTGTGGGAAAAAAATGAATGGACTCTTTGGTTACAGTTTGGTAACCAAATTTTTCGGTTACTATCTCGTTCAACAAACTTCACGAAATGTTTTGGAAAACCCATAGAGAGTTCTGTTATTGTGAACTTTTGAGTTTTCGGGACATCGGCATCGACTTTTTTGACAAGTTCGGCAGTCACAATGACACAGTCTTCCACTTCGCTCTTCGTGGTGAACGTTAGTTCGGCCATTTTTAAATTTGGTGGCCAACTGAGGAACTCCACCTTCAGTAATAATGTTTTCCTCATAAACTTCACAAAGTTGCCGATAGATTTCTTTTGGTTTACGTTTTTTTGCAGTCAAAAACCTTATAACTGCACGCACTTCACAGTTCGCGGCATTTTCAACTAACACAGAAATTTTCAACTGTCACAGTAACTCAACGGAATACAGCAGAAACCTCTTACTAGTACGGCTAGATGCTGACTGAGCTGCATAACAAACTAACACCAAGATGGACGCGCTAGCCCCACCCCTAGCGGATACCGACAAAAACGTAATCTACTTTCTGGATAGCCCTCGTACAAGGAGCGGAGCAAAATTCTTCTCTGTGAAATATAGGCCTTGTCTATTAAAAAATGCTAGCGAGCGTGACATAAAAGTTGTCCAATATAGTACTTTTTGGTTTGCACCACTTGGCACACTATTGAAACATCTATAGTATAATTAGACTGAACTAACAACAGCTTCAAATTAACACAATCACATGTAAAGGAAGCCTTTCCTCGTTTCATTTCCTAGCACATAATTTTTACTAGGCAAGGTACTTTGTTAGTATGATAATAGACTGTCACTCTCATCTAAAGCTGTTTTGATTGGACACATATTTACTAATTTTCCTTAGCTACTTAAACTAACCAGACTTAGCCTGTTCTAACTCTGGACAAGATGTTATTGTTGTACAATACTACTTTGTTTGTTTCAGTGTTTCCATATTATGCAGGATTTTTATCCTAAAATTTAAAATATAATTTTTAAACCGTGCGCGAGATTGAAACAGGATATAAGATAAAACGGAATTTTTGGCCCTGACATCTGGTTTTCTAATTTATAAACCTATTCATTTTTGGAAAAAATAACCTTTATCTAATAGTCATAAACAGTTCCCACACTCCGGACTGCTTGCCTTTACTACTTCCTTTACTTTCCTACGTCTCGGACCTGTTTCCCTCCCTTCCCATAGCATCATAGGATTGCAAATACCTTAATATAATGGTCTTAAACAGATCCCACACCCCGAACAGCTCACCTTTACTACTTACTTCACCACTTCGGCACTTCCTACGTCGCGGAACTGTTTTCCCCCTTCCTATAGAATTTTAGGAATGCAGATACCTTAATCTAATCGTCATAAACAGTTTTCACACTCCAGACTGCTTTCCTTTACTACTTCCTTCACCACTTCCTACGTCACGGACCTTAAGCTAGTGTCGACATTTGATTATATTTATGATCTATACCGTTTCAGTTCCAATATCTGTGGAATAATGCTTAACACCTTTTGTTATAGGGTGTGTGGTGAAAAGAAAATTAAGGTATCAAACATAAATTCAAAATTGTAATAAAACTGTGACATATCATTACGTAGAAACAGTTTATCCTTTTTATTATCATAAGCTATGGGAAACCCCCTGAGGCTCAATCTAAATTCCCATTGCAAACATATGCTGGTAGTTGATTGTAGCGTAGCCAATAATATATTTTGAGTAAATATTATGTACCCTAAAATATTGTGACAATAAATGTATATTCTACTTACCGTACTTATAGTTTTTGTTTATGTCCAAATCAACTATGAGCAGCCTAAATCTGGTCTTACTATCGATCATTGGTCTTTTTATTAAATACCATCTTGCAAATTGATAGAATTATAACATCTGGGTCTAGAGAGCAGAATGCTTGGGATTAAATCGGCAACCATTAGATTTCAAGTGCAACACTAACTATTCAAGCTACCCAGTCAATTCATATACTTAAATTTGTTATTTTTAATCAAATTACTTGTGTTCAATATTTCCTAATTTTAATACATTCAAACTATCTTCTATACTATCATACAGGGTGAGTTTCTAATTGTCCCCCCTCTGAATTTTTTCTACATTTTTCAATAATTATATAAATCCCAGACCACTTCCAAACTTTGTTGGGTAGTAAGTAGGGTACTTCATTTTGACTAGGTGGTAATTTCCGGCCGCCATCTTGGATTCACCATATTGGATACAAAATACTTTTTTCGGATGTAAAGGTGGAGTTGTGACCCATTTTTTCCAACTAGATCTTTACAATTTTAATGCCACAATCCATTTTTTAAAACTTGATCCATTCCAAGGTTATGTACAATAGTAAGTCGGCCTTAGTCACTAATAAGACTACAAGATTGCGCCAATCATACTACACTCATCTCCATTTGTATATACTTGGCTTAAAATACCTACTTTGTATGGTCGCCATTTCATTGAAAAGTATAAAGTATATTAAGTATGGAGGGCTTTTTATAACTTTATTTTTAGCTCATTTTAACATTGTGCATTTACAAACTAAGACCATAATCTCAAAATAGTTCTAGATAAAGATAAGTATACACCACCATCAGTCATTGTCTACCTATTTTAACTTGGTTATGACATTTTTTCAGCAACCATCTTGGATCAGCCATTTTGAAATGTTAATTAATCCAGCAAAATCATGTTAAAGGTTTATTTAAAGATGATTATCGTCATTGATTGTAAGGAAACAAACTAGATTCTATAGCCATTGTCTATTAATATAGGTTCTGTCTCCGAGTTTTATAAATTAACATTAAGTTCACTACAATATAGAAAGAAGTTAAAGCAATTAAAGAAAAATATATATAAATATATATAAATAGAGTCTATATTAATAGACAATGGCTATAGAATCTTTTACATATTATGTAAAATATAGGGTCAATCAAGGAGCGGAGAGGCAGTGGTGGTCCCAGGATTTCATTTCGGGGGGAATGACCACCGGGGGGGTCTGGGGGTATGGAATATTCTCCACAAAAAAAAGGTGCGGGGTCCCCCCCCCAGAAAAAAGTGGAATTTAAATCCTAAAAACGTATTTTATATGTATTTGAGCTCTAAAATATGCTCAGGATAATAGTATTTATGTTAGCTAATAAAATTTAAAATATTTCGGGGGGATATTCCCCTCCCACCTCCCCCCCTGGGACCTCAACTGCGGAGAGAGGATCAGAAGTAGAGTGGGCTTCACTTTAAACATGTAAATATAGAAACCACTTTGTCCTTAAGTAGTCTTTAAACGCCTTGAATTTTTATGTCCTCCGCTCCCATCCCTGCACCTCACCACTGCATTCATATAAATATTTGATATTGGCTAGGCCACTTTAATACATTTATGTAGGCCTATAGTAAGGTTAAACCAAATTATATACAGCAACCTCAATTTGGCCACCACCCAAAATTTGCGGCTTAGGGCAAGTGGCCCACCCTTCCCCCTTGCTTTGGCCCTGCTTTTACTATAGTGTGTAGCATATCCATCTATCATTCTAGGTTACAAACAAAACTAATACAGAGTGACACTCCATGCGAAGGGCACAAATCTTTTCTAGTTTTACCGGTATAGATTTTGCTATTTCCAAATCATGTCACTCTTTGACTGTGATCCTAAAGAAAATTATAATTTCCTCTTAATGTAATTGCTTAATAATTGCAATATCCCCTGAGAGCTGTATTACCGGCAGAATGGTTATTGAGCTGTAGGCTACCATTTATTTTTACAGCGCCATTTTTAAATGGTTTTTTGCGCCTACAACTATTTTTATGTGTTACTGGTACCTACAATCAAATTAGACCGAGGCATCGAGGCCATTGTGAACTCTTCAATTATTACCATTATTGTGAATACTTTGTTGACCCGGGCAACGCCGAGTTTTGCTGCTAATATTGTATTAATATTACTAGCAGATTACCCGTCCTTCGTACGGGGTTGGCATATAAGTATAAAATGCTTATTGCAGTTATACTCGATCTTTGCGTTTGCAATGTGAGAAGACACGGTTTGAGAAAATTTGCTACCTAAAATTTACGTTATGCTATAGAATTACAAAAGTATTACACATCTACCATAGCCATCATGTTCTATCACTTCACCTACACAATAGAGAAAGATAGATTATTAAAAATTCGCAAAATATCACAAATTATTCATGAAATAAAAAAACAAACTGTAAAAAACTGGCAATCCTCCTTTACAGTTCTCATTGCGTATCACAGTTTTTTTGTTGCTGCTTAATTCAAATTAGCTATGTTTGTAAATAATAATAAAAAATAATAGTGCTGCACCCTGTTGGTAAATTTTATAATTTTTCAATGCTTTTGCATATCATAGAACCAACTCTTTTAGTTGAAACAGCTGGCTAAGTTTCTTTAATTTCCTTTAAATATGAATACTCATAAGGTTAACATGGGAAACTGCAGAGCCACTGGGGCGGAGCCCGAAAGGATTTTTGAAATAAGAATATGCCTATATGTTAGTCGGGAATGTGAGCTATCATCATGCCAAATTTCAGCCCAATCCGACCCAGTATTTTTCGCGTTTACTTGTCACAAACATACATCCATACATCCAAACTTTCTCATTTATAACATTATTAGTAGGATGATTAAATCAAGTCAACCACCATTATAATATTTAATTTAAGGTAAGTGCTTGCTTCTCCCTAGCTGAAATAAAATTATTCATTTTCTTATGTGATACGGATAAGTCGCCTCATATTCTTCCTAAAAGGTTATAAAAAGAACGTCTCGTTCTCCCGGAAACAACCAAAATACATCTTGTCGTCATCTCTGAAATCATCATATAAACACTGAAAAACACCCCTGAGCTCTTACTTTTAGTAACAGATTGCCTCCCAATACTTTTGTTTTGTCTACGTTTATGACGCGTTCAGCTTCTTTACTTATTCACTCTGAGAAACTACATGTATGTCTGTAACACATTCGGTCAGTCGCGTGGCCTCGCCACATCTGTCGCTACCCCAAGCGACTGGCGGTCGCGCGCGACTCGAGTGGCCGCGCATAATAAGGCTCTAATGAACATATTATTTCAGTTATATCTGTTATTTAATATTTCCCACATTTCTATATGAGTCTTGTCAGTGGCATCATTTAGAAATCCATTAGCCCAAATCATTAACAAACCACTAGTGGCTTGTAGGGACATTAGTCCCTAAAAAGCTCAAATGTAAAACAAATTATTGTAATATTTAAACCTAAAAAAACTTAGAATCTATTTGTCACGATAGATATCCCAGTACAGGATTTCTGTTGTGTCAAAAACAGTTTGTTGTTTGTTATAGTTTGCTTTTGTTGATGTTATTTTCAATAAAATATTTGAATTATTACAAAGGTTTAACTCCGCTAAAGGCAGCAAACATGTTTGTGAATTAATATTGGTTTCCTAAGGTAGCATTGGTATTTTGGTTGATGATGCTAAAAAGGCTTCCCTGATTAAATTATTAGAAATTATCTTCGTAAAATGTGAAAAGGCAAATAAAGGTGTGTTGAGATAAGCTTTAGTTCTTGGTCAAAACTGCTAAATTAGCACCCCGACCCAGTTATTATGTCTAAGTTGGTGCTCCTTTTGTAAAGGTTTAAAAAAATTAATGAAAGGTAAAGACATCTCATTGACCAAACTTAAAACTAGATTTGTTTCTGATCAATAAAAAAAAACAAAAACTATAAGAGTAGTGTAAGATTATGTGGTGGTAATCCTCCTACAGGTAATGACTACATATTTTATCAAAAAAGGGCCTAATCAACGGCTGATTCCTAACTATTTTGCGACTGGTTACGATTCTATTAGGCTACCCAGTTATCGAAATCAATTACAAAATTATATCTCATCAGCATCTTCTACATGCAAATTTTTGGTTAAGAAATGGAAAATACCTCAAGGTTTTACTGTTATATGGATGCTCCCTTTACCACCGTGCATGCTAGGGTATATTATTTGAACCTTTTTTGCTTGGAGCTAAAGGCAGTACCTGGTTAAAATCTCCTACGAACAATATTGTTTTTCTGCCCATTGGAAATTGACACTGCACTTACTTAATGAACAAATATATTGCCTGTACGAACCTATTTCATCTTTATTCCCAGGTTGTTTTCCAAGAGTGGCCGTTGAGGTTAGTCCACTACATAGAAAATATTGATTAAACACTACAATATATCTCAAATTAAAAATGTTAGTAAATAAACAAAAAAGTTTAGAATAAATCTTTAACATATGGTTTGAAATCAAAACAAAACAGAAGTTTTCCATTTAATCTTGAGTCTTGAATAGTTTATTATTTAGTCAATGTGGTTATTTCACGTTAAACATTCCTTCAACAAAACAATAAACTTCAAATTAGAAGAAAAAAACGTAATTTTTTCAGCCATTCTAAGTTCAATTCCTTTGATTTGAGACATCTCCTACGATTCTACTATTTTGCTTGCCACTGGTCTTCTCAAAAATCTCGTATACTGTTTTTAGAAACTTTTTTGCCTCTTCAAGGTCAGAATCAAATTGGTAGTGTAAGAGGTCCAACAACATAAATACAGATTCTTTAGTAGACCAATAGACCTTTTTGATTAAATCTGATGATCCTGCAGAGTATTTAGCGAGAAGCCCTTTGTTTGTAAATCATACAGCTCTTTTGCTGACATGTCATTTATCTCTGACCTATAATAACACATGGTGTTTTCAAACAACATACCTGTATGACTTACATCTTGCA